TTTTTTTTTTTTAAAGGCAGATTACTTCCCTCCTCTGCTCCAGCCTGTTTTAAGTCTCTCCCCACCTCAATTCAAAGTAAAAGCCGAAGTCTCTACATTGCCTGACAGGGTCCCTGTTGCCCTTGCTTACACTACTTCAGGCATTTGGGCTGTGTTTCCTCAACACACTAGGCACACACCCCTTTCAGGGCCTTTGCATTAGCAGTCCCCTCTGTCTGGAACCACTTTTCCTGGATATTTACATGGCTCACATTTTCATCCCTCTTCAAGTCTTTGCTGAATGCCATGTGCTCAAGGAAGCCTTCCTGCCCCACACCCAAATATTCCCTATTCTTTTTTCCTCCATGTTACATATCAACTTCTACATTGTACAGTTCAGAAGTTGATTTTCCTGTCTGTCTTCTACAAATACAATGGAAGTTTCAGGGAGGCAAGATTATTGTTATATCCTCAGTGGTTGAGACAGTGCCAGATACATATTAGGCACTCAGCTGCAAATCACAAGTTTTGTTGTATCAAGCCATATAATGCTTTCATTATTGATTAGTTCTAAATATTTTATATTTCCAATAGGATTTAATTTTTGCAAATTTTAAAAGTAAATCTTGCGGATAAAAAGAGTATTTATAAAATTGGTAAGGCATGAGGAATAGTAATGCCACAAACACCACTTTCACTACCCAGAGAAAATTACTGTCTTTGAAACCCTGTATGTCCCTCCCCTTGAATAACTACTGTTTTGAATTTTATATTTATCATTCCCTTGAAGTTTATCTCTGTACACAATATACTGTTCATTTCTTCATGTTTTTTATTCTGTGTTATGTATAGCTGTAGCTGAATCATTTTCACTATTGTATGGTACTCCATTATGTGAATACACTGCAATTTATTCATCCATTCTCTATCTATAGACGTGTTGTTTCCTGGATTTTTGCTATTACAAACAGTACAATGAACATCTTTGTAGATTGTCCCCTTATACTCTAGTATAGGAAAAGTCTCAGGAGTATACATCTATGAGTAGAACTGCTAGTTCATATGGCATGTGTATCTTCCCAACTTCATTTTTTACAAGATCATATCAAGTTGCTTTTCAATAGTAGCTATACTAATTCACACCCCATATGAGTCCCTGTTGCCCCATCTTCTGACCAATGCTTGATATTGTTAGTTTTTTTTTTTTTTGAGATGGAGTCTGCCTCTGTCTCACCCAGGCTGGAGGGTAGTGGCGCAATCTCAGCTCACTAAAGCTTCTGCCTCCCGGGTTCAAGCAATTCTCCTCCCTCAGCCTCTCGAGTAGCTGGGATTACAGGTGCCCATCACCACATCTAGCTAATTTCATATTTTTAGTAGAGATGGGGTTTTACCATGTTGGCCAGGCTGATCTCGAACTCCTGACCTCAGGTGATCCACCCACCTCGGCCTCCCAAAGTGCTGGGATTATAGGCATGAGCCACTGTGCCCGGCCTATTGTCAAATTTTTTAAAAGAAGTCAATCTGGTGGTATGAAACGGTTTCTCATTGTGTTGTTTTTTTTCTTAATTTGCATTTCCCTTATTACTATAGTATAATGAAGTTGAGCACCTTCAAGTTTTCACCTATTTTTCTGGTGAGCTATTACAGTTATATTCTGAATATTTTAACCATTATATGCACTGAAAATATTTTCTTTTGTCTTTTCACTTTAAGAAGTCTTTTAATGAACATTTATCATTTCCTTTGTGGTTTCTGCTTTTGTCTTTAAAAAATTTTCTTCTCTAAGTCATAAAAATAACTTACACATCTTCTAAACATTTATAGTTTTGCCTTTAACATTCAATTCTTTTATCTACCTGGAACTGTGTGAGATAAAGAGTCTAATTTCTATTTCTTAATACAGATAACAATTATTCCAGTATAACTTCTTGAAAAGTTCTTCTTTCCCCCCCACTGACTCTCAGTGCCAACACTGTCACATATCAAACTTCTATAAATATGTGGGTCTTTCTGTCAACTCTCTATTCTATTTCATTGGTTTGTCTATCTCTGTGCTAATATCATATCATCTTAATTCAAATTTCCCACCTTGTAGTTCTTTAAAAATGTTTCTTCTATCCTTAGCCCTTTGCTCTTACATATAAAATTTAGGAGCACTTTTTCAAATTAGAGAAAAAAATTAGGATTTTGATTGTCATTGTTTTGAATCAATAGATCGATTGGAAGAAAAAAGTTTGCAATACTGTACATTCCTATTCAACAACATGACATCTCTCATTTTTTAAAATTCTTTTTAAGGTCCTAATAAAAGTTTTATCATTTCTCTACAAAGGTATTGCACATCTTTTATTTAGGTAATTTATCTTTTTGATACTCTTATAAGTTTTTGAAAATTACATTTTAACTGTTGCTAAAGTAGAGAAATGTAGTTGATTTCTGTACACTGAACTTTGACAGTTTTCTACTGTCTGTGTAGATTATTGGCTCTTTAATCCATGAATCAATTAATTTATAAACATGTATTTGTTAGCTGTCTTTTGTTAAACTTTTGGCATTTAAAAAAACACATTTTCTTTCTTTCTTTTTTTTTTTTTGAGTCTCACTGTGCCACCCAGGCTGGAGTGTGGTGGTGCAATCTCAGCTCACTGCAACCTCCCTCTCCTGATTCAAGCGATTCTCCTCTCTCAGCCTCCCAAGTAGCTGGGACTACAGGCACATGCCACCACGCCCGGCTAATTTTTGTATCTTTAATAGAGATGGGGGTTTCACCGTGTTGGCCAGGCTGGTCTTGAACTCCTGACCGCAAGTGATTCACGTGCCTCAGCCTCCCAAAGTGCTAGGATTACAGGTGTGAGCCACTGCACCTGGCCAAAACACATATTTTCAAAATATAGATTGATTCTTTTGAATTTTTGAGACTTCCTTCATGGCCTATGTGTTTTCAATTTTTATAAACTTTTTCACGTGTCCTAGAAATGAATGCGTGTTTTCTGTGGGATCCAGAGTTCTGTATATATTTGTCAAACCAAGCTTATACAACATTTCTGGAAGCAATTTTTATACGAAACTAATTTCATTTTTTAAACACGATTATGGTTTAACATTCAGCTTGGTTCAGAATTAAGTCTCTTTCAGTTATGTACCTCTTCAACACCCCTACAATATGGACGTTACTATCTCCTGTTTGCCAAAGCAGGACTAGATGCTCAAAGGGCAACTTGTCCAAACTCCACAGGAATTGAAATTTGAACTTTGATCTGTTTTAGTTTGTTACAACACAAGGCTTCTGGCACAGAAATCTCAGCTATTCTTTATTCCACTTTTACCTTCATCCTCCAATATCTACTGGGACATGGGACCTTTTGATTCTACACCCTAAAATATTCCCTGATCAATCTCATTTATTACTATTTTCATTTTCACCAAAATCAGTAGTCAAAGAATATAAATGCCAGTGATAAAATACCACTAGCATACTGTGTTGTTGCAATTTTTACGCCCTTTCACCTATATTACTTCATTTCATTAATAAGACTAATTAAAATAGGTATTACAACTTAGGAAACCGGTTCTCAAGAGTGTTTATGTAACATATTTAAACTCCCAGACAGCAAGTGACAGATCCAGTTTTCTGAATGATAGGACTCTTTCTATAGCCCTGTATTAGTAACAATGTTATTTTTAGAATAAAGTTTTAAGAATGTATCATCTATTGTAAAACATCAGACTAAAGCCAGATTCCCGGTGGGGAACGGTATTCTCAGGATCCTCTCACCCAGTTGCATTACCTCACTTCAAAAAACCTGAGGCCCAAAGTGGTGCTGTGACCTCCTAAGTGGAAAAGCTAGTACTCGAATTCGGATCCTCCATCTGGTGTCATTAACTCAGCCTTCCGGAATACGGCCAATCAAACGGAATTACACCAGCTTCTCAGAAAAAGATCTAATGGTTGTATTACAAAAGAAGGCATCTATTTCTCAGAATTTCTAGCCTTAATTGCCTTGGTGAATCCTTGAGGGACATAAATCCATCCTTTAACAAAGATTCCTTTGGACAGTGGAATGGTGAACGTTATTGCGCTTCCATTACCGCCCTCCAATTGGGAAGACCCCAGCATCGAATTCGGGAGGCCGGCAATAGCAGCTCATGCCTGCAGGGTGCGTCCACCGACTGGGAGAAAAGCAGTCGGGGTGGGAGAAACTTCGGAAACCACCCAGGGCCAAAGGAAGGAAAACGCAATGCACAAATTTGTTTCCGCTGGAGGCAAAGGCTGGCGTCGATACCTGTACTGGGCAATGGTCAGCGTAGCCTCACGTTCGGCCCCAAAGCCAGGCAAGTGCTGGTTTAGGTAAGCCTCCAGGGACTTGCTGTCGAACTTGTGCTGGGGCAGCATTTCGGCCACATTGGGCTCGCCAGTAGCACCTAGCTTCATGATCGTCCCCGCAGGCCACAGCAAAGCGGAAGCCACAAGTCCTGAGCGCAGAAGTCCTTCAGGATTGGGAAACGCCCCCAGAGCACAGGCCGAGGCCGGGGCGGGGTCTGGTTCCAGCCAACCGCGTACACCCTACGCGCCGTTGCTGAGCAACGCTTGCCCACTGTATCTGGAGGTTTTAGCTCTAGCCAAGTGCCAGAAGAGCCCAATGTGTGTTCGGATTTCAGTTCTCCAGTCAGCGTCAGAGTTGGAGGCCTCAATTTTAAAGAAAGCAAAGCCACGGTCATCGTTGCGCGAAAGGAACAAGGCAGAAGCCTCTTCCATCCCCAAATTTAATGCATCAGCAGGCGGAAGACCTGCAGGGTCCGGTTCAGAAAAAAGCCCGTCAGGACCTCGAGCCCAAGAATAAAAAGACCCTGTTTCTCCTAGACACCCGGTTAGAAAGGCAGCATCGCAGGCCTGCTGCCCTGGACACTTATCACCCCGGTCCTGCTGCGGCCGGGTTTAGCCTACCCAGCGAGGAAGGAAGCCGAAAGAGCCAGGTTTTTGCTAAGGGGGAGCGATGTCTGCGACGCACCGGAAGCGGCTCCGAGGAAGGAGTGAAGGAGACGTGTCTGTCTGTGAGGCGCTGGGTGCACTTCCCCAGGTCTCTGGGCTAGGAAGGCAGCGGCTAGGTGCCTCTCCAAGTACCCTTTGCGGGCCCAGCCGAGCAGCGTGGGGCGAAGGCGGCGGCGAAGGCCCGGGCTGGGAGCGTTGGCGGCCGGAGTCCCAGCCATGGCCGAGTCTGTGGAGCGGCTGCAGCAGCGAGTCCAGGAGCTGGAGCGGGAACTTGCCCAGGAGAGAAATCGGCGGGTCCTGGGGAGCGGCGAAGGAGGGGGCGGACGGGTCCGCATCGAGAAGATGAGCTCAGAGGTGGTGGATTCGAATCCCTACAGGTAACCTGCGTCGCCGGTCGGAGGCAGGCGCGGGAGACGAGGTCAGGCTCCGTGAAGTCGGAAGTGAGGAGCTTCCCACGTCCCGCTCATGCGGACTCCCTCCACCCTTTTCTTGGTCTGGGAATCCTGTTCCCAAATGGGCAAGGCCACATCTTAGTACTGATCGGAAGATATTCTTTCTCTTTTTAATAAACGTCCAGTGAGTCAGCCATATGGTGCTGCTCCTGTGCCTGCTGAGGACGTATGTCGTTTCCTATCGCCCTTGCCTCTTTAGTCCACCTCGCTGTGTATAAGACTGATAGTAAGAACTTTTAGAAGATGTAAAACCTGCCAAGGTAAACTTTGAGGTTCATAAAGGCTTATCAATGCATCTTAAATGGGGGCGGGGCGAGGGAGAGCGGGATTAGCTCTAATCTGAGATATTCGGGTGCTCCTTAACATCTCAAACCATTCGACATTACCAAGACTACCCAGGCCTCTCTTTTCTTCTTTCCTAATAAAGCTTGTCAGTTCAGCAGATGGAATGTAGTGCAATGGTTAAGGGTAAGGGCTCTACCGCGAGACTGATTGCAATTCAAATCTAACGACTCTCTTAATAACTGTCTAACCTTAGGCAAGTTGTGAAACTCTCCGCTTCAGCTTCTCACCTATACAATGAAGATAACAGTAATATCTATCTCTGTCATAGTTGTGGGGATTGAAAAAAATCAGTATGTATAAAGGTCTTAGAGTAGCGCTTGCACATGGTAAACCTTATACAAGATTTTATTGCTAGGTGCATTTAATAGCAAGCAGTTATTGAGCTTTCACTGTGCTAAGCACTTTACATGCATTGTCTCCTCTCACCAAAACCCAATGGCATTGCTACTATTTTACCCCCGTTATATAGGTGAGAAAATTGAGGCTTAGACAGCCACCTCAGGTTCAGGCCTTGGTAGTAAATAATACGGCCTGTCTTGCATTAGATTTGTCTTAATGTAAAATTCTCATGAACCGTCTCCCCAGTAAAAACAATTAAGTCGTGTAGCTAAAAATTGTATAGTGTTAAAGTAGATAAGGAAGATTTTATTGTTGCTTTTTTCCTTTAAAGAGCATAAGAGTTTTGATTTTTAAAACAGGTTTTAGTTTGTGATATATATAAAGCCGCAGTAGAAGTCTTAGGGTGCACTGTTTTAACTGTGTTGCCAAATATGAAGGGTTAATGGTCCAAAATTTTTAGAGATTAAATAAGCATGAACTGACATCTCTAATCAGAGTAAGTGGAAACTATTTGACATTTTTTAAACATTTTAAAATTTTACAAATGAAGACTTTGAAATTTTCCCTCCAGAATGAAAAGCAGAGGAATATGGGTCATGAACTTAAGTTGTCTTTCAGACATTATTTTAATATGAGATGATCCCTTGACATTGTAATGATGACAAACAAGACTTTCAGAACTCAAGTCTAAATATTTAGTATTTCCTATCTGATTTGCACCATTGACTTTATTAAAATTGCTATACAGGAGATGGCAGTTTGATGCCCAAAGCTCTTCACTGGTATATGGAATTTTAATAAAAGTCAGCTTTAATTTTTTGAATTGTTCATACAGCAAATATTTACTGAGTACCTTTTCATCTCCAGTCCTCCTTGACAACATTATTTACTTTGTATTGAGTACTTATTATGCGCAGACACTGTGAATATAAAGTAGACATGGTCTTTTTCCTGTAGAGCTTACCAGATGAGTGTGAGATAAATAGAAAAGTAAACGTGCATTGCAGTACAGGTGGTAAGAATTATGATAAAGTACCGTGTTATTATTGATAAAGTACAGGTTATTGAATTATGATGAAGTACAGAAGGTTATAGGAAAGGGATATGTATGTGTTCAACACCATTTTAACTGCTTCAAGAGATACAAAAGAAATATAAAACCCCTGACTTTTGCTTCAGTTTGAGAGACTATATGGATGTGGGATATTAAACAACATAAGTAACCATAAAGTTATGTGTTATGGAATATAGTTACAAGCTTGTGGAAAAACTGGAGAGGCTTTGAGATTAGAAAACCTGGTATCAAATCCTGACCCAGAAACCCAGCTCAGAATACTGTTTGCCTGTTAGCTAATCTTGGGCAGTTGATTAACCCAAACTGTTTCCCTCATTTGTAAAAGGGGGTTGCCATCCATGCTTTTCAGGTTACTTAAAGATTGAAGGGAGCATCAAGGTAAGGATAGCAAATTCCTGTGATGGATCTGCCATCACTTTCTAACCAACCTCACTAAAATGACAGTAAAGGAATTTTTTAAAAGAAAACTCCCATTGAAAATATAAAGGGTTCGTATTAATAACTTACGGGGAGGGGTGCGTCCCTGTACTTGATTATAGTAACAGTTTGGAAATTAGAGAAGGGATGGGTGAAGGTAACTGATTTAATAGATTCAGAGAAGTTTAATCTTAAGCTTGCAACCCAGTTTATTGCAGGAATCCCCAAAGGCTCAGGAATAGACACAGGTACTTGGAGAACTTCAGGGAGGGCTAAAAAAAAACAAAACTTTCAGTTGAAAATCTGTTGAAGAAACAAAGCCCCAGATCCCCTACTCCACTGTGGGTAACTGGGCAAACACTCATTCCCTACCAGAAGAGGAGAGTAGAGATTTCTTCATTAGAAAGACTAAAATAGAAGATTTCCAAGAATAATTGGGGCAGGTCTTTGTACCTGAAGGAAGGGGTAAAGTGATTGTTTACATGCTGAATGTTGTGACTGAATGTAAACTAAATGCTTACATACTGAATGCTGAGACTCCCAGCCTTGCTTCTTCACTTCCAACAGCTGATCGCGGGGTTGGAACTCCAACTCAGGTTGGAGTTTGAAAGATTATTCTCTAGGGAATCTGATAGAGCCAAGAGGAAAGACTGAAAGACACTGACATTGTGGGTTTCTCAACTAAATAGTTAGGCCAGTGAAGTCAAACAGTATTGCCTATATTGTTACCTTTATTGTGTCCCACTCTTAAATATGAACAGAACAAAGGATGAGAGAAACTTCCAACGTGAAAGAAATAAAAATAGCAACTTGGATAGACTATGTAAGAGAAACACATCCCCCTAAATTATCATTAGTATCCTGAGATGAGAGAAGATATGGTACAAATGATACAGGAACAAGGTGCAAAGTAGTTAGATGATCAAGAATTCTTGCAAATGGAGATGGTAATAGAAATGAGAATCTTAATAGAAGTGTTGGAAAATAAAGTCGAAAGAAATCATCCAGAGAATAGAGCAGAAAACTAAAATGGTAGATAATTGGAGAAAGAAGATAAAGGACAAATCCAAATGGTCCAACTTCCAAATAATAGTTCCAGACAGTCCAGGAAACAAACCAAACAAGGAAGTAACCAAATTATTCAAGGACATTTCCCAGAACTGAAAATGTGAGTTTTCATTTTGAAAGGGTTCAATAAAAACTCAGCACAAGGGATGAGAACAGATTCACATTTAGGGACACTGTGAAATTTTACAAGCTAGGAGACACTGGAGCAATACCTTAAAATGTTGAAAGACAATTCTAACTTTAGACTTCTTTACCAAGTTAAACTATCCATTAAGAGTATACGTGTAGCTTCCCACAATTATACACCCTTTGCTTTGTCATTTTTATGAAGAACATAATTTTGATAAGGAACATTTTCAGACATGAAAGTTCTCAAAATTTACCTCTGCTGTACCCTTTGCAAAACTACTGGAAGATGTTCTAACCACAGCAAGAGAGTAAGTTTAAAAATAATTGATGACAGTCTTTTAAACTGTCATGTGCATCAGAATTACTGGAGGGCTTGTTAGAGCAAATTGTTAGACTCCATATTCAAGATTTCTGATTCAAAGGGTGATTATAGGGTAGGGCCTAAGAAATTTCATTTCTGTTAAATTCTCAGGTGGTCCTGTTGCTGATCCATAGACACTTTAGAACTAGTGAGCTACAGCATACAGGAAGCAGTGGATTAATACAGAATAAAGAAATTAAGAGACTTTGTAGTATAATGATGAAGGAATTGCCTAGGAAGGGAGCTGTATGTGCAGTAAGTCTAGAGACATCATGTCAGATTCTAGGAGATACATCTTTAAGAAGATGAAATTGATAGAATACCTCATGAACATGAATGTATCCAGAGGAACTTTAGACAACTAGTGAAAAGTTGGAGTTGATTTTGTGAAAATACATAGGAAATTAAGCATCAGGAGAAACACACTTATTAACTTCAGGGTTGGGGGTTAAAGGAAAGGGTAAGTTTTAATATACTGCATGACCCGGTTGTGAAGAGTTAACATCTAACCAAGATGACCATATAATAATATTGGGAGGTTGGTGGGATGGAAAATGTCTGTGTGCAGTAGGGATGAATGCTAAGAGCAAAATCTGATTCAGATAATTGACTGTAACTGAAAAGAAATACAATGTTAGCATGTTGTTTAGGAATATGATGGTAACGGAGTTAAAAGTGAGGGAGTGGAAAATGGGGCTGGAGGCTGAATTTCCTGACAAGCCTGGTGGAACTATTTGACTCCTTAAAGTGAAGATGAATGGGAATTAATTATAGACTTAAACTGCAGATTACCAGTAACTAGTTAAAGCACCTCTTAGAGTCTTTGGCATACAGTAGGTGCTTACTAAAAGTAGACATCATCCATTGTGGGCAGAGGCAACGAGAATGGAATTCCAGCCATGAATTTACTCTGATGATGGAGATCTGAGTGTTAAAACATTAAATATTTACGTATTCCACCAAAGCATAGAAAAATGTTGAAATTTAACTTTGACCCTTAACATTTAAGTAGTAGTCACAATCTTGGCTGCAAATCAGAATACATAGCTTTTAAAAACCAATCTTGTTGCATGGACTACACTTGGGAGTTTTTAAGGTACCTGGGTAATTTAGTTTCATCTGGTAAAAACCAGCCTGTAAGCATACTCCTCTTTGAAACGATTAGTAATGATTATATTTTGGTGTTTATTTTCTGTGGTGATGTATGTCTATTTGTATTACTATTACCTAAAAGACTGTAAGCTTTAAAACATTTTTCTTTGTTTTAAGCCGCTTGATGGCATTGAAACGAATGGGAATTGTAAGCGACTATGAGGTATGATAAACCCTTTCCAAGTTTTTGTAAGATGAATTCAGTGAATTAAAATAACTTCTGGTGACATATTTGATGAACAGCTATTAACCAACACATACTATTTTGTATTTCACAGAAAATCCGTACCTTTGCCGTAGCAATAGTAGGTGTTGGTGGAGTAGGTAGTGTGACTGCTGAAATGCTGACAAGATGTGGCATTGGTAAGGTAAAAACATTTCTCTTTGCCTCTTGTATAGGGAACTACTCACTCCTGGAGTAAATCAGGTACAAATTAGGATTTTTTTTTCTTTACTAATGGCTTATTGACTTGCAGTGTATTAATCTAGATTGTTCTATTTGGGTTGAGACATATCCCCACCCAAATAAAAGGTGATATTATTTCTAATTAGACAAAGATTGTCTAATTGTGTTTAGAAACGTTTTTGTTTGAAGTAATATGTAAACAATTTGGACTTAAGTGTTTTAGATATAGAAGCTTAGGAAAGAAGGCTGTTAATTTGATAAAGTGTGTGAAACACTGAAACATCTAACAATTATTTTATTAAACATACCAGACAGAATAGAAAACATGTACCTTTCCTACTCTTGATTTTGAACTAGAGAATGCTCTGGATGAATTTTTAAAAATTGGTACTTTTTTACTTTTTTCTAAAATTTATTTAGATTATGGGTAGAAAGAAGTAACTTTCTTGTACCAGAATTCAGTCTACCAGTCTTAGATTTATAAAGCCAAAGTCTATGATGTTAGATACATAATGGTTGAATAAATAAACTTTCCACAATTATGTATCCTTTAATTTGTTGTTCTGGTAAAGGAAGCATTCTCCCAGTTTACCAATGCTTTCTAATATGTTGATCTACCCCAAATTCTTAAAAGAAGGTGATTTCAAAATTGGCTCTCACTTATCAATATAGAAATAACACCAAAATACTAAAAATGTTCACTGAAATTTTAATATCTTTCAAAAGATTTACAAAATCTGGATAAAAATTGCTTATAGCTGACTTAATTACCCTGACCAGGGATATTAGAGATCACTGACCTCTATTGACCAGGGATAATAGAGATTATTGAGATTAGCGGCTCTCAAGTTTGAATATGTTATCACAATTAGTTGGAAGCCTTATTAAAGCACAGATTAACAGATCGTACTCTGGTGGTGTTGATTTCTATAGTTATCAGGTGGACTTAATAATTGACTTGCTAACAAGCTCCCAGGTGATCCTGATGATGATGTTCCTAGGATTACACTAGTGAGAACCACTGGATCCTTGCTACTCTAAGTTTGGTCCCTGAAGTAGTAACATCAGTATCAGCTCTCAATACCTACCCCAGACATACTGAATCAGAATCTGTATTGTAACACGATCCCCAAATGATTCATTTGCATATTAAAGTTGGAGAAGTGCTCTTGCATCTAACAAGCTTCAGGTGATGCTAATGCTAGCTCCATTAGCTAGATGCTAGCTGCATTAGCTAGACCAGGCCACATTTTGAGTAGCAAAGAGGTAGAACAGTATTTATATATTGTTGTAGTTAGAATCACCTGGGAAGTTTTAAAAAATTCTGGTGTCCAGACTGCACCCCATATAAGAATCTCTGGGGATGAGGCACAAACATCTGTATTTTAAAAAATTCTCCAAGTGATTCCAGTGTGTTTGTAAACAGAATCTACACAGGTAAGTTTCAAGAAGTCTTTCTTTAATTTGTAAAACAGATAAATATGAAGTGAATTAATGAGGTTAAACAGGAAAGTAGAAGATGTTAGGAAACCCAGAGTCCATTTCTTATCTCTGAAAGCCTCTGGGATCTCTTTAAAGTATCTGGGATGCCTTGGATCACCAGATCTATACTCGCTGCTTTATTTTAGAGATGAAGATACAGGCCTAAAAAGTGAAAATGATTTACCCACAATCAGAACTAATTAGTGGCAGAGTTACACCTCAGACCTTCTGTTCCCAAGTTTAATGTTTCCCGCAACTTATGTATAAACAAGCTATGAGGCAGAAACTCATTTAATACTTAGCCTGACCTAATAAATATTTATTGATGAGCTTAAATAAACTATGTTTTGGAGACTCTTAAGTAGGATTAGAAAATTTTGGAGAGTGAGATCTTTTCTAGCAAGGTATTAAGGGCTATCTAGGAGTTATGGGTTAGGTTAATTTTTTTTCTTTTTAGTTTTTTTTATTGAGAAGAAAATCCCATTTTTGTGTTTATTGTTTAGTATGCTGAGAATTGTATTACAGAGTCACAGAATTTCATATCAAGAAGGGACTTAGGAAGTCCTTGTCTCTAGCCTGTTCTTATCGATAAGAAATGTGATCTAATTGCCATTTTAGTGTGTGTGTGTGTGTGAAATGCTTTTTGAAACAGGCTTAAGTATATAGCAGGAAACAACAATTAACTGGTTTGTAATTCTATTTGGAATGATGTTTTAGCCATGTCACTGGTATATATTTTGTCATATACACAAAAGGAGTCATGTTATACTATATTTTAAGTTACAGCATTTGTTTTTATCTTATTTAAAGATTTCATTTATCCAATAGATTCCTGACTTTTAGCAAAAAAAATGGAAATGAAGTAGGATTTTGCCACAGTTTTAAAAAATGGAATGAAAGGGAATTAATTTTTGAGTGAATTATTTAGAGAGGCAACAAAGCATTGTGGTTGAGGTGCAGATGCTGGATTGAGAATGCTTGAGTTTGAATGCCATTTTCACCTCATATTAGATGAGTGGCCTTTGGACAAGTGTTGTACTTGCCTCATTTTTAAAATAAGGATAATAGTACCTACATGCCTCACATGAGCATTCAATGAATTAATATATGGCACCCAGTGTTGTAAAGTTAGCTAATATTATTATCAAACTGTTAAACTAATTAAATGTAAAGCTCTCTAATTTATTCTTTGATATTTTTAGTTTTTTGGTATGTTTTTCATCAGAATACCACTGTTTTCATTTTAGTTGCTACTCTTTGATTATGACAAGGTGGAACTAGCCAATATGAATAGACTTTTCTTCCAACCTCATCAAGCAGGATTAAGTAAAGTTCAAGCAGCAGAACATACTCTGAGGTAAATGGAATAGCAATCAAGAAACATATTCAGTGAAATCTTACTTTATGTATTTGATATGAGTTAATATAAATGGATCTTAATTTTTCTCTATAAAATGCAGATTTCACTTGTACAAAGAATTCTCTTACCTGTTGGACATGGGGTTGGCAAACTTTATGTATAGGGTTATATAATAAATATTTTAGTCTTTGAGGGCCAGATGTTCTCTGTTGCAACTGTTAGTTGTAGTGTGATAGCAGCTGTAGGCAACATAAACATGAATAAGCATGTCTGTGCTCCAATAAAATTCTATTTTTGCACTCCAAAATTTGAATTTCATACAATTTTTAATTTTTTTAATTAAAAAACAAATTTTTTTTGAGACAGAGTCTCACTCTGTCACCCAGATTGGAGTGCAGCAACACAATCTCAGCTCACTGCACCTTCACCTCCCAGGCTCAAGCTATCTTCGCATCTCAGCCTCCTGAGTAGCTAGGACTACAGGCACGTGTCACCATGCCTGGCTAATGTTTTGCAGTTTTAGCAGAGATGGGGTTTTGCCATATTGCCCAGGTTGGTCTCGAACTCTTGAGACTCAAGCCATCTGCCCACCTAGCCCTCCCAAAGTGCTAGGATTGCAGGCATGAGTCACTGTGCCTGGCTGATACAATTTTTATATGTTATAAAATGTTCTTTTGATTCTTTTCCCAACCATTTAAAAATGGAAAAAAATTCTTAGCCTGAAGGCTGCACAAAAACAGGTGGTGGGCCAGATTTGGCCCATGGGCCACAGTTCACCAATCCCTGCTTTAGGAACTTTCTTTGTGGCCCCAAATTTGTTCTTAACTGGAATAAGGAAGTGAGGCTGAGCTATAGGTAGTTACTGGACATGGTTAAGTCTTAATTCCCAACACTTAGATTAATTGGGGTGGGAACAGTTTTGTAATCTTTATGACAAAAATGAACCTAGTCCTTGAAGTGTGAGATAAAAGAGATAGAAAAGAACTTTGGGTTTTCTTTGAATAGCTTCAATTCGCTTCTCTAAGGTATGTTAAATGCCCTTTAGCTCTTTCAATTCTTTTCCTCACAGCTTTTTCTTACTACAGCTACTAGTAGTAGTCTTTTTAAAAACATTTTTTTTTTTTTAGAGACAGAGTCTCACTGTGTCCCCCAGTTTGGGGTGGAGTGGGTGCGATGATAGCTCACTGTAGCCTTGAACTCCTGGACTCAAGTAATCCTCCCACCGCAGCCTCTTGAAATGCTAGGATTACAGGCTTATAATCATTCCCTTTTTCCTTCTTAGGAACATTAATCCTGATGTTCTTTTTGAAGTACACAACTATAATATAACCACAGTGGAAAACTTTCAACATTTCATGGATAGAATAAGGTAAAATTTTAATTTATGAATATTTTGTATAATGTCCAGCTCAAGTATTAGAAAATTATTAGAAAAATCTATGGATTAATCCAATGAATGGAAGATTGATATATATTTTTCCATTTTTTTAGAACAGTAATTTTTGTGTAATTTTTATGTATTAGAATATCATTTAAAGGTATATATTGTCCAAAAACAATTAAAAAGCAAACAAGCAAAAAACCCCTGTAAGTTACAATATAAGAAGAGAGTATCAGTTTTAAGTTCTGTGTTCTAGATTGTATTTCTGTCTGAAAATGGTTTTCTTCAGAGACTGTCAGACCACCACTGAAATAGTGAATTGCATCCAATTAGCTTTTATTGCATTTGTAATGAAGCATGAATAAAAATGTGAAAGCCGGTAGTGAAAAAGTAACTGTTGTGAACATACTTTATACTTCCTTCACCCTTGTAGTTCTTGTAAAATAAGTAATACTACAGTACCATTGATGTTATATTTGTATGTTACTCAATACTTGATATATATATATCTTTAATATTACACAGTTATGTGATAATTATAGTCAAACATTTAATGAAAGTATAAATGTTGGACTGAACAAGTAAGTATAATGTATTAGAGTGTATTTTGTGTCCTGATGTTTTTCAAACTTATTTTCTTTGACTAGTAATGGTGGGTTAGAAGAAGGAAAACCTGTTGATCTAGTTCTTAGCTGTGTGGACAATTTTGAAGCTCGAATGACAATAAATACAGTGAGTATTCCTGCTGTGCAAGATATATTCATGGATTTAGCTGTTTTCCTGTATATAATCCCCATCCTAAAAACAGTTCTGAATGTAAACCCTTTTCTGTGTTTTATTTGTACTGTTCTCTTAGTCTACTCTTAAAATCTATTCTAATAGCTGTGATACCTGTCTAACCTTGCTGCTGTGACATGTGTTACAGTATCCTACTCTTTTTGCTGGTAAACTGTGAAACAGCAAATACCTCTGATGTATAATTCTTAAATTGGTATCTTATAATAATTATTGGTCAGCGTTAGTTTTAGCTTTTGTTACTTTATTTTATAAATGTATAAATATGTATAAATTGCCTAAAAACCTGGTTTCTCAAAAATAAAAATAATTATTTTCCTTTTGAATATTGTTTTTAACTTTTCAGATGATATTTTGCCTTTTTTTGTTCTTGAAATTATTTTAGAAAAGTGAAATTTCACATCAATTTGACAAGAAATCCAGTAAACTTTGATTCAATTTAATAATATTTACTGATTGCATCTTGAATACTGTCACTTTACTCTTAAATAGAGTATGGTAATTACCAAGGAATTCCATTATCTTACAACTTACCTCATTTGTTCTGAAAATTAATTTTAAAAGACCTTGGTAATCCATTCAGTTCAAAGAATGTATTGTAAATTACTCCTTGCTCTTTTATTTTTTTTCCTTGTGTTTTCACCCATTTCTACTAAGGCTTGTAATGAACTTGGACAAACATGGATGGAATCTGGGGTCAGTGAAAATGCAGTTTCAGGGCATATACAGCTCATAATTCCTGGAGAATCTGCTTGTTTTGCGGTATGCATTACTCTTTTTGGATTATTCTTCACTGTTAGGTACTTGAGTTCTTAGGGACATTGAAAATGTATTACAATTCAAAGAAAACACAAACTTGGATGGAATACTATTTGGAACATCTCATACTTTTCCTCTTTTTTTTTTGAAATGTCTTTTCTTTTATTCTTTTTCATGTAGTGTGCTCCACCACTTGTAGTTGCTGCAAATATTGATGAAAAGACTCTGAAACGAGAAGGTGTTTGTGCAGCCAGTCTTCCTACCACTATGGGTGTGGTTGCTGGGATCTTAGTACAAAACGTGTTAAAGTAAGTCAGGGCTAATTTTTCTGAATAGTCTTGTATGCTTTCAATAAAAATAAATATATTTCACAAAGCATTTCAGAAATTGAAATTATAAGCTAAGTATATAGTTACTTTTAAATGTAGTTTTAAATGTTTTATATATGCATATGTGTACATTCTATTTTATATATGTATGTCTACTTTTCATATATATTGCTATATTAAATATTATGTATATTAATATTCATACATGAATATATAGAATGTCAGTTACTCCCTGCATTTGGAATAGCTTTTATGAAATGATACAATGGTAGTGACATATTTATTTATGAAGCATTAACCAAATGATTTAAATCTTTCCAAGTCTGACCAGTGGATGGAGACTTAAACACACTTGTTTCTACTATCTTGGTTTAAGTCTTACCAAAAATAACCCAAATGTGACTAAACAGTAATTATTAATGTTAATGTAATTAAACATTAATGTTACTGTAAATTTTACACTTACATATACATAAAATGTTAACATTTATATTAGTGTTAATATAAAACGCATTAACAATACTTAAAAAAAAAAAAACAGATTCTTAAAATCTGCTTTTGGATACCTCTGCTATCCAAAAACAAACATCCAGCAACTGTACTATCTAAACTATAGCTAAAAAGAAGGGAAAAGATTTCTTTGCTGCTAAAATTTATGTCAGAGTTTATGAATCAACTCATACTTCATTAAAAGCAGATCCCCTTTACGTGTTCTCTAATTCAGGCCATTTCTTTTCCCTCATTTCACAACTTTAATAAGCTTAGTTGTATACCCTAAGCCTCCAATATAATAAGAACAAACTGCAACAAGACACATGGAGGCACCAATCAATAAGAAGTGTCAGTTGCTAGCAAAGAAATTGAAAAAAGCATACATATAAACTCTCAAAGTAATGGTCTAGGGCTATTTCATATGAGCAAATAGCCTGTTTAGACAGTATTAGGCCCTGTCTAAACAAAACATTTTATAGTATGATACAAAAAAGAAGCAAAGAATCATGGCTAACCAAGTATTCTCTTAAGGATGTGTCCTATTTAGCTAGCCCCTCTGTTGATGGTCATTTAGGCTACTTAATTCTTTTTTTTTTTTTTATTAACAGTGCTACAGGCTACATCTTGTATATATCTCTGAATACTAGATTGATCTCTCTTCTTTTCCTTTTTTTGGAGACAAGGTCTCACTGTGTTGCCCAAGCTGGAGTGCAGTGGCACAATCATGGCTCACTGCAGCCTCAACCTCCCGACCTCAAGTGATCCTCCCACCTCAGCCTTCCAAGTAGTTGGAAGTACAGGTGTATGCCACAATGCCTGGCTAATTTTTGTATTTTTTGTAGAGACAAAGTTTCATCACGTTGCTTAGGCTGGTCTTGAACTCCTGAGCTTAAGTGATCTGCCCACCTTAGCCTCCCAAAGTGTTGGGATTACAGGCCACCGTGCCCAGCCTAGAGTTTTCTATAGTATTTTTTTTTTTTAAAAAAAAAAAAAACAGGGTTTCACTCTGTCACCCAGGCTGGAGCGCAGAGGCACAATCTCAGCTAATTGCAGTCTCCACCTTCCAGGTTCAAGTGGTCCTCCTACCTCAGCCTCCCAGGTAGCTGTGACTACAAGCACCCACCACCACGCCCAGCTAATTTTTATGTATTTTTTGTAGAAACAGAGTCTCCTTATGTTCCCCAGGCTGGTCTTGAACTCCTGGGCTGAAGCAGTCTGCCCATATCGGCCTCCCAAAGTGTTAGGAATTATAGGCATAAGCCACTGCACCCGGCCTATAGTACACATTTTTTAAAGTAGAATTTCTGAATTTACAAAATATTTACTAAATTTCTCCTGCAAAAGGATTATACATTTGTATTATAGTTTAGATTATACATTTGTATCATAGTTTAGGAGTACCTGGTTGACCCATACCTTTGACAACTTTGGGTATCATCAAACTCTGTAACCTTTGTCATTCTGGTGGGTGAAAAATAGGCATTTAATTTTTATTTTTATTTGTGAAAAAAGTTGAACACTTCATCTGTGAATTGTCTGCTAATAGTTGTTGCTCTTTTTGTCTTGTTGTATATTAAGAATGTGTATTTGCAAATATTTTTCTTTTGTCATTTATCTTTTTTATGTGATTTTTTCTGTATAAAAACTTTTATTAGGTTAGTGCAAAGGTAATTGCAGATTTTGTCATTACGTTTAACAAAAACTGCAATTACTTTTGCGCCAACCTAATAAAAGACATCAGATTGGCTGGGTGCAGCGGCTCACGCCTGTAATCCCAACAATTTGGGAGGCCAAGGCAGGCAGATCGCTTGAGCCCAGGAATTCGAGACCAGCCTGGGGCAACATGGCAAAGCCCCATCTTTACAAAAATAATACAAAAATTAGCCAAGCGTAGTGGTGCTTGCCTGTAATCACAGCTACTTGGGAGACTGAGATGGGATTGCTTGAGCCTGGGAGGGTGAGGCTACAGAAAGCCATGATCACACCACTGTACTCCAGTATGGGCAGCAGAGTAAAAAGTATCAGATTTGACTGGGAAGAGGACAGGAGGGAGCTGGAGGCACATGGGATGCTGAAAATGTTCTATATCTTGATCTGGTGAGGTTCCATGAAAGACTCATACAAAATTTTACTGAGCTATACATTTAAGATTGTGCATTTTATAGTAAATTACATACAAAAATGTTAAAAAAAAAGTTAAGTAGCTTTAATACCATATCTCAGGGATTTAAAAAATACACTTCTCCCACATTTTAGCTTCTCTGAAATCAGCATGTCAAGTTATTGACATGTAATAGTTTAGCTGCCAGCATTTAATCTTTATTAGAGGTTCAAAAAAATAGTGTGTTCTACAGTTGATGAAATGGAGTAATCTTTTCTTTCCTTCATTCAATAAACACTGAAGCATCTACTATGAGCCAGGCACTGTAAATAAGAGAAAATTGCTGTTTTCTGGATGCAGATTTCTGTTTTCTGATTTAAAAAGTGTATCATTTACCTATTTCAAAGTTATTTTTAAAAAATTTAACTGTTCTAGTATTTTTCATGGTTTTAATATCTTTATGTCTACTTTGATTTTTCTAGGTTTCTGTTAAATTTTGGTACTGTTAGTTTTTACCTTGGATACAATGCAATGCAGGATTTTTTTCCTACTATGTCCATGAAGCCAAATCCCCAGTGTGATGACAGAAATTGCAGGAAGCAGCAGGAAGAATATAAGGTATATGGCACTCTGTTAGAATGCATGAGGGATCATATTGCATAGGACATATAAATAACTTAAACAGATTTGGAATACAAGATAAATGGTTAATTTATTCACCATACTTCAAAAATGAATGTTCTTTCTTGCTTTTGGTAAGATAAAAAGCCTGTCTGAATTCTTGATTAAGGCTTGTAATGTCCTATATATTAGTCATAAAGGAAAATTCTTGATTAATGCTTTAGAGAATTGAGAATGAGTAAGAACACTTTGATGCTGTTTGATTTCTACAGAAAAAGGTAGCAGCACTGCCTAAACAAGAGGTTATGCAAGAAGAGGAAGAGGTAATCCATGAAGATAATGAATGGGGTAGGTGTTCTTTTATAAATTGAAATGGCAGCATAAAACAAAACCTTTTATGGTAGCCAATCTAATAAGATTATACCAATTGAATCATTATTGCTTATTAAATTCCTTAAAAACTGATACAGGATTAAATTTACAGGTATTGAGCTGGTATCTGAGGTTTCAGAAGAGGAACTGAAAAATTCTTCAGGTCCAGTTCCAGACTTACCTGAAGGAATTACAGTGGCATACACAATTCCAAAAAAGGTACTTCAAAAATACGATTTACCCATATGTAAATATCATATAAAATATTTTTCTTCATCTTCATTCTAATTTGTAATGCCAGTGAAGTATTTCCTGTTTTAAGATATTTTATGCTATAGGCATTAAGATGTGAGACAGAGTTATTCAGTGTTAATATGCAAATATTTATAGCTTATTTTAGACTTTTAAAACAGAATAAAATGATTTTGTTCACTCATTAATGAACCAAGTATAATAGATTTTGATTAAATGAAGATCTCATTTTTGTTTATTGGTAGTTTTAGCTACAATGTCATTTAAAAAAACTAGAGCTGTCAAGAATATTGAAATTACTGCCTTGTAAATCAAAAGACTGGTGGGGAATGTAAAAGACTTTGTCTTCTAAAAATTAGAAGACAGTTGTTAAAGAAAATTTACTTTATAACCCTGTTGAGCACGGTCAAAACTTACTGATTATATATTCCTAAGCATCAAGAATTCTATATGGTTCTCTTTTCACTGTATTTCCCTTATTTGTCAATAGCAAGAAGATTCTGTCACTGAGGTAACAGTGGAAGATTCCGGTGAAAGCTTGGAAGACCTCATGGCCAAGATGAAGAATATGTAGATAATGGACTGGGATATATTTTATTTCTCATGTTAAAGCCTCTTCCCTTGAAATTAAAAAAAAAAAAAAATTTAACTGATAAAACTTAGGGCAACATTTATTAATGTATATTCTTACCTGAATTGTTATACTTTTTGAAAATCCTGTGACTTGCCTATTTCTCCCCGCTCTAGTGAAATCATTAACTCTCCTAAAATGTATGTTTCATTCTAGTAAGAAAACCTCAAAGGATATTGTAGGATATAAATCTTACTTGAAAACACAGCTGTTGAAACGTTTTGGCCTTTTGGAGTGGGGAAAGGACAAATCTGATCCTGTAATCTTTTTCTTTCCAGTAATCCCTTGTGTCTGTTGCATGAGGACATGGACAATAAAGCAGTACATGATTCTCAGATACAGGGAGAAGGACAAGGCATACAGCTTATTGATTAGAGCTGGCAAGCATCTGCTCATTATGTTTGGAATTGCTTTCTATAAGAAAATTTCCGGCCGGGCGCGGTGGCTCAAGCCTGTAATCCCAGCACTTTGGGAGGCCGAGACGGGCGGATCACGAGGTCAGGAGATCGAGACCATCCTGGCTAACACGGTGAAACCCCGTCTCTACTAAAAAATACAAAAAAAACTAGCCGGGCGAGATGGCGGGCGCCTGTAGTCCCAGCTACTCGGGAGGCTGAGGCAGGAGAATGGCGTAAACCCGGGAGGCGGAGCTTGCAGTGAGCTGAGATCCGGCCACTGCACTCCAGCCTGGGCGACAGAGCAAGACTCCGTCTCAAAAAAAAAAAAAAAAAAAAAGAAAATTTCCCACTACTTCTAACTTGATCAACAATGAATTCAAAATAGTTAATCTATGAAATAACATCCTCTCAAATGTTTGCTGATGAAATACAAGTTGAAATGTAGTTATTGGAAAAGTCTGTAACCTGTGGATTATATATATTCAAAGTGAGACAAAGGCAAATAAAAAGCAGCTATCTTTATGAATAGACAAAGTTGATTTCAGGAAGTATACATTATATTCTGCACCGACCCAGGAATAGAAATTATTGCATCTGTGGAACATATATCTGGAGTTACTATACTTTACTGAAGAGCCAGGCATAAATTTAGACTAAAATCCACCCAGATTACACTCATTCTTTAGGCCGCTCCTGGATACTTCATTTAAATTTGATTCTTGAGGTAATGAGATGTCGGCAAGGTTTGTCCTGTATATTAGGCATAAAGGAAAAGTTCTAAACTGCCTCTCCAATGACTTGTAGTCAGTGGTAGAGTATCACTTTCCCTGATCATGACCACTAAACTGTAAATTGATATAAATTAGTTTTCTCTGGAGTTACATCCAAGTAATGAAGACTTAAGATATCCTTGGTTGAAATAAATTTCCAATAATTTAGAGACTCATAAATACCATGCAGGTGTAACCATTGCCAGTAGGCTGTTTCTATGCTTATTTCCTATTTTGACTTTTACGTTGAAGATAGGAATATCTAAATTATATCTCTAGGGAGAAAATGTAAAAAATTAAAAGTGCATCCCTGATTTGTAAAATAAAGTTCAAAAAACTGATTTCAGAAAGTCTCAAATACCAAATGTGTTCAATACACTAGTTTTGAGATGCTAGGATTATACTGTGATTCTTATGTTTATAGTAAAGTCTGGAAAGCAGGAGGATAGGTTTTTTTAGCCTTGAGACTTATTTATGTTGCCTTGGTGAGTCTTTTATCATTTTTTAAAAATTTAGCTTATGCAACTGTAAAATAGCATTTCTAGTATGAGAGATGTTTTGATTTTAAAAAATGAAATGCAGTTTTTCAAAAGTAAATTTCCTGTGGAAATTCTTGCATATCAATTTAGTAAGGTTTTATAAAATTTTACAATTTGATAAAGTATCATATCTAGAATTCACTGTCTTCTTTTATCTGCTCTCAAGTTGGCACTGCATCACTGCCTGTGTCTTACACTGCACCAAATCTTACCTAACTGATCTAACTTTTTTTGTCTAATATCTTTCATTAAAAATGACTGGATTATTTTACCAAAAAAAAAATAATCTGGTAATAGATATGTTGCTATCCTAGAATACTCTTGACAGTCTGCAGGCCATGAAAACTTGCATAAGGCAGCAGATTACGAAAAATTAATCATCATTGAATTTAGTATTACTAAACTCATAGCATTTGTCCAGATTTGTAAACACTACAAATCTGAGAATCAAATTTAAATGATTCTAATGTGAAAGATGGAAAAGCAGTCCCAAAATTTGCTTACCACAGAGACTCTAGATGATAGTAAAACAACATACTCAACTTTAATTCCTGTCTCATTGTTAATGGGAAGTTAGTTATGGTTCTACTTAAATGTTGTACAGAAAATAAGTATTACTAGTTTCTTCTCATAAAAATACTCCCTGGATACGTACACTGAACAACACAAAAAACCTAATAGCCAGTTAAGAATATATATTTTGTTTTTTTTGAGACAGAGTCTCACTCTGTTGCCTAGGCTGGAGTACAGTGGCGCAGTCTCGGCTCACCACAACCTCCACCTCCTGGGTTCAAGCGATTCTCCTGCCTCAGCCTCCCAAGTAGCTGGGATTACAGGTGCCCGCCACCATGCCCGGCTAATTTTTGTATTTTTAGTAGAGACGGGGTTTCACCATGTTGTCCAGGCTAGTCTCAAACTCCTGACCTCAGGTGATCCACCCATCTTGGCCTCCCAAAGTGCTGGGATTACAGGAGTGAGCCACCGTGCCCAGCCAAGAATATTTATTAAAGGAAGCTTTGACCCCTGCATCACATTTTTTTCTTATTTCCCTTTCTGTAATCTCAGCACTTCGGGAGGCTAAGGCAGGTAGATCAAGAGGTCAGGAGTTCGAGACCAGCCTGACCAACATGGCAAAACCCCGTCTCTACTAAAACTACAAAAATTAGCCGGGCGTGATGGTGCGTGACTGTAATCGCAGCTACTTAAGAGGCTGAGGCGGGAGAATCGCTTGACCTCGGGAGGCAGACGTTGCAGTGAGCCAAGACAGCGTCACTGTACTCCAGTCTGGAAAACAGTGAGACTCTGTCTCCCAAAAAAAAAAGTATGAATGAATGAAAATTGTAACTAGAATGAATAAGTACTCTACCAATTCAGATTTATAATTGAGTTGTCTGAAAGCTACCTTTTTCATTGTGAAGGTGCATATTAATGTGAATAAAATATTCCTATTTGAGAACTTCAAATATGCATACACAAAGATGTTCCAGCTATTTTTATCTTTTTAAGTATGCATTCTACATGAGAACGTTTGGGTTGGTAGTAAAATAAGTAGGAATATCAAAACATAGTTTATTATGTTTAGATTTCATTCTTTTGGAATACATAATTTTGAGTGATGATGTCCCCAACTATAGTTATTCAGGCACAACTTTTGGAGGTACAAAGAATAATATTCTTAAGGTAGTTTTTCCTTTTGTCAGGGTTCTTCTAGAGTACTAGATTATTATTAGTACTCAGATTATTTCCTAAAGCAGTTTTTCTAAGGTGATAAACTGAACACATTACTTGCTATGTATTAAATTATTTGTACCCCTAAATAATCAAATTCTAAGCTCTAACAGCTTAATTCTAAAATCATTGTCTGGTATATTTGTGTTTCCAATTAGTGTCTTTCACAGCTGCCAAACCCAGAAAGGTATGTTAATGGCTATAGTTTTACCTTATATTTTTCCCTCTTGGACTACTCCCAAAGGAGGAAGAAGGATGCTCATTATATACTGCCTCATTTCTTTTTAAATTACCACTATAGTGCTGTAGAGTTATACCACTGCTTCTCACACTTATGTGCACATTAGTCACCTTGGGCTACAGCTAAAATACAGATTTATTCAGTAGGTTTGGGGAGAGGCCTGAGAGTCTGAATTTTTAATAAGCTGCCAGGTGGCGGTGATAATGATTTGTGGACCACCCTGTGAGTAGTAACTCGGCCTTAAGAGAACATTAACCAAAACCTTAAGCTGAGCAAACTACTGAGCAGCAAGCATTGATAACATTTCAAGGTTTTTGTTTTGTTTTGTTTTGTTTTGAGACGGAGCCTCACTCTGTCGCTCAGGCTGAAGTGCAGTGGTGCAATCTCGGCTCACTGCAACCTCCACCTCCCGGGTTCAAGCGATTCTCCTGCCTCAGCCTCCCACGTAGCTGGGACTACAGGCGTGTGCCACCACACCCAGCTAGTCTTTTATATTTTCAGTAGAGTCGGGGTTTCGCCGTGTTAGCCAGGATGATCTCAATCTCCTGACCTTATGATCCGCCCATCTTGGCCTCTCAAAGTGCTAGGTGTACAGGCATGAGACACCACACCCGGTCCATTTCAAGTTCTAAAAAAACGTTCAACATATTTCTTTAAAAATTATGCAGAACAGCCCTCTTGTATAAACTAGAGTGGAGAAAAAAGAACTTAAAATTGCACTTTTATTTTAAAACAGTGAAGTTTGGCTATTACATATTTCACTTTTACAATTAGGATCTTACAAGTATTAAATTGATGATTTTATTATATATAAATACACAAATGGTCCAAAACAATATCTAAAATGTTGCAATATTTATAAAATTCATAAAAATAATTTTCAGTATAAAAATGGCATACTAATTTGAGTTTGAGGTAAATGAAGAGACAGATTTAGGCCATCTAAGGAGGAAGATAAAGGAGAATATCATATCTCTATTTTGGGAAAAGACAAAGAATGCTAAAGAGCTTGACCTGTTACTGCATTAATGACTTCAGACATTATGCAGATACATATACTATATAGTAATAAATAATACACAATGTAGACAGAGCAAAAAGCAGAGGGACTGGACCAGTCTGCTCAAGGAAAGGGTAAAGAAATTTTTGAAATGCAGCAATAGGGATTCTTGTGACTAATGTGTTTCACTGAAGACAATTTGAATCTTTCATAAACATTATCCTTTTAATCCTTGAAACTTTCCTTTGAGGTAGAGAATTGGGCCAGACTACTGCTGAAAAGCAAGAGGAATGGTGAGGCTAAAGTAGCTCTTGAGAGCTGAAAAGAAACATGGAATTCTTATGTTATTTATTTATTTATTTATTTATTTATTTATTTATGAGACAGTCTCACCCTGTTGGCCAGGATGGAATGTATTGGTGCAATCTCGGCTCATAGCAACCTCCACTTCCTGGGTTCAAGTGATTCTCATGCCTCAGCCTCCCGAGCAGCTAGGATTACAGGCATGCACCACCCTGTCTGGCTAATTTT